AAAAAAAATAAATAAATGGTCCATTAAGGCTTTAAGTTTTATTTTATAACGCTTATTTATAGATGAAATCTTCGGATGCTTTTTGTTATTTAGACTTGCATTATATATTTTTAATGTCATATTATTTAGAAAATGCTACATATTTTATTACGTTTTAAATTGAAGATAATATGAACTTAATCCATGATTCGGAACTTTGGAAATTTTTATTTATAACGTAATATAGATTTATGTTGGGTAATTCAAAATTAATACAATTTTGACATCAAAAGAGAAAATGTTCATTTTTCCATCTGCTAATTGTTTCATTATAAACACAACTTTCAAATAAAACATGAAGGTCCCGGATTAGAGTAAAATATATTCAGTTTTAGATAAATGATAAATATTTACAAATATTTCTGAAAGAGATGGAATGCAAAATTAATATTCATGTCTCATCGTTGAATGTTTGAGAAAGAAATTCCGAATTACTTACTTAGAAACAGAAATTGCAATTTTGTAAGTTGTATACTATTGACAACTACTGACGTTCTACTTGTTGTACAGTCTTTGATTGGATAGATATAATATGGGCGATAATTCAAATCTATACCAATGCAAGTAAAGTTTGTTATTCAATATATCAAAATGCAGGCACAATTTTCTTCTTTCAAATTATCCGAAATTTTGCGCTAAATAATTACCAAATTCTTGGCTTTAAATTTATTTTAAAATGTATATTTGTCTTGCTAATGTATACAAGAATCTATATAAAAAGGTAAAGGAATATAATTTAGAATGTATGCTAAAGATGAAATAGATAAAAAATAAAATGCATCAAAATAATTAGATTAGCGCTTTTTGGTCGCTGCTATTTTTTTAATTTATAGTATACAATAAACTTTTATGCTGATTAAAATAAAGTTAATTACTTAAACGACAGCATTGGATGTCATTACCGTAATCTAAATCTGGTATGTAAATACATGGATAATTTAATTTTTGGATAATGTTTCTTCATGTATGAAGATTTGAGGGGGAACCTAGACTTTATTAATTCGTATCGAGTTTTTTTGCTTTTTGTTTAATAAGAAACAAACTAAATATTCAAGTGCTCTAGCTTTTTGGTAATGGCAAATTCTGAATAAATAATCCAAATTTTTATTGAATATTCAAAATCGTCTTCTGTAGAAACGAATACTTAACACAAAAATACATTTTTTTCTTTTAATCTAATGTACAACAAATTAGTGCACCTCAATTTGGTATCTTATTATGATAAATTAGACATTCTTTGTTATAAAATTGGCAAGTTGCTAATATTCTAATTAGAAATGCAATAATTTAACTTCTATTGCTATGAAACATTTTTTTGAATTCCATTGCATAGGAAGAAATCGTCGACAATTGTTTCTAAAAATGTTCCACGCTATATTAATTCTGTTTTAATGGAACAAAAGAATATGTCGGTTACATTTTTATCATTGAAAGTTTATGATTAAAATTAAGTCTAAGCTCATTTTAAAACTAGGAAATATATTTATGAAAACAATTTATCAGAAACATTGCATATGAAAATTATAATTTCTTCGTCATCGTTATTGATCTGCAATCAACTATTTAGTTTAGATAAAATTTCGTAGAAATTCTAGTTGGATAAATTTCTTAATTTTTAATTTCGGTATTTTTTATGACACACTTACACAGAAAATAATTTGGTATGTCTTTCCAAAATATTATAATACATACCCAAAAGTGAGCAGGTACATTGTGCTACATGCATGCATTTTACACTACAAACACTACATGCATTTAATAGCCATAAACAATTTAAAATTTTGATTCCAGAACTATACATAAATCTAATGGGAGGGGGAAATAACTGCTGAAATGGGACAAGAAATTTAAATAATTCGAATGGCATAAGCGATCTTAATTAAATTTTTATAAGAGCATTTTAATCCGATACTTCTAGAAATATTTCCAGTGTAGATTTAACCTCCCAAACTTATTGGATATCGGAGTTTTTCGCCATCGTTCGTTGGGATTTGAATTGAGCATGATTCCAAAGTTGATATTCTTTTCACCATGTACATATTTTTGAAACAAAAGTAATATGCAATTTTTTTTTTTATAGTCGGTGGCTGTTTCTTGGATTATTTCTTTTCCTGCTGTTTACTATCTGCATAGGTGGCTGTTATGAAATGATAAGAAGTAGAAGAAATGAAAGAAGTGGCAGACAAACCAGTGCAAATTTGTCTTCAACATGCGGCGGGAGGGCTATTTCCATGACTTCAGTAAGTAATTTTTAAATCAGTGACGGAATCCTGTTAATTATTGGGCGTATTGGGAAATTAAATTGAATTGAATAAGCCTAGATAAAAACCAATATCTTCATTAACTCGTGATGTAAAGTTTATGAATTTCGATGATAATAAATTTATTAATGTAATATTTTAAAGTTTTGGGATTTCGTGACTCTTTCATTAGTGGTTGTATTTCTTGTGAAAAGATCATTTTTATAAATGTTAAATTGTAAACAAATGCCAGCTAAACCAATAGTATTTACGCCTGTCGCGAAAAATTCGTAAACCGGAATTTCCCTCTTTGCATTCGTGGGTGCAAATTTACACTTTATTGCTCTTGGTACACTATACTCTTAAGTTGGCGGCGTGATGGCCAGTTGATTAGCTCTCTGGTTTTGGTACCACATGCTTCAGGTCGGAATCCACGTTAACTATAGGTATCGGTCTAATTAGCCCAAAGTGTGCACAAAATTGCCGTACAGTATCAAACCAAACCCTCCTCGAGTTCTAGTATGTGGAACCGATACTGATAATCCAAATTGACATTGGTTAATAAACTTTAATTCACTGACCAAAACTTGGCATCATAAATGTCTGCAAATTAACAGAAAATTTTGATTAAGGGAATATTTATCTTCCACGCACTTCAAAACAAACTTTTTAATAATGAAAATTATTTCGAATGCTTTCATGCAACTAATCATAAGCATTATAAAGTTAGAGAATTTTTTTACTTAAACAAAAACGATGTTTTGAAGATATAAACGCCTAGAATATTGTTTATTTTTAGTTAACCTTTTTTTTTTTTTTTTCCTTAAATATAGATGGAGGAAATAGCTAGAAGACGATGCAATTATCGCAGTAACAGTGAGACAGACACTCTCGATCGAGACTTATACGATAACAGCCCACCTCCTGCTTATGACGATTTACCACCTCCTGCTTACGACGATATACCACCTCCTGCTTATGATTATATACCACCTCTTGCTTATAATGAGATGACTATTCCTATGACGTGACTATGACTATGATGAGATGTTGTAGTTGAGGAATAGAAGAATTTTGAATTCAGACATGTAGGATTTTAATACGAGATTTCTTTTTATGCATCTTTTATTTCTTGTCATTTTATCCCGAATATGTCTTATAAATAAAGATTTTTAAGAATTTTTTTCCTTTTATTCAATAAAGATTTACCATATTGAACATGACCACCTTTCGGTTTGCTTAAGCATTCTCTAAACTAGTAAGGAGTCTCTAAACTTTCTTATCCAAGGGCAATACTGACTATAAATCAGTTGGATAAACATCTAGCATACCTAACAATTTTTAAATGAAACTAAATTTTTTTTTTCCAAATTTAAAAGTTTTTCCTAAATTGGGATAAATGTCGGAAGGAAAAATATATGTGCTTAAAATGGGACGTTTTTATTTGCAACAACATAATACAAAAAATGTATCATATGTAAAGGTAAATATGGACTGGAGAAGTGTTTTTCAATTAGTTTCTTATGCGATTTTTCAATTCCTACTATTAGTTCCCACTCTCCCTATATATATTTATATATATTCAAATTTTCAATCGTTAATAAAATACTTTTTATTTATCCACTCAAGTTCAAATACATTGTTTTTAATTTGTAGTGGATGACACTTGATGTTAATACAATTTTTCAAATATTAATTCATTAATTAGATTTGATTGATTTTAGTTTTACATACGAGAAATTTCTCTGATATAAGATTTAGCAGGATATAAATTTAGGAATAAATGCCGTCGGTGGCGAAGCGTGTAGATCGCTGAAAAAAATTTTTCTTTTTTTTCATTCTGGGTCCAACTCTGAACAAAATGGAAAATGAAACATGTGTATAAATTAGTGAGAGAGATGGAAAGTATGTAAGAGAAAGAATTTTTTTCTAAATTAAAAAAAAGAGTGAAAATTATTTATGAAGGACTTTCTGCAATATAGTGAAAAAGTAGGAATTGACTGAATTTTTATATTACTTCTTTTATGCAAGAATATCCATTTTTTAAATTGCAAACGGCTGTCAGCATATAAATCGTGAATTATTTTACTATTAATTTTTAGAAAAATGTTATTTCACACCTGGGAGGGGGGTGGGGAATGCTCACTCCGTGCAGATCATATGGCGGATCTGCATAGTCTACATTGTTTTCCAGGGAGGGGTACAATAAGGTCACCCGGACCATGACTTGATCCGGGACAGCCTCTTCACAACAGTAACAAAGACGTATCATGGACAGGGTCCGGCGTCTCTGCTCTCTTGTTCGGCGAGTTTCCGAGGTCGGGCATAGCTGGTTGTTTACACTTCTGTGTTGGTTATGTAGAGTGCACTACGCTTGTCCCGCACATGCGTACTCCAGAGAGCAGGTGTTATAATATAATACTATATTGTTGTTGTTTCTTATCCCACTTGGCAGATATTTCTAGGCCAAGCCCACGAGCCCATACTTACTCATGATTGAAAGGGGAAGCGAAGCAGCTTCTGTTAAGATGGAGCACCCGTAGGTAGAAGCCTGACTTTTGCTCCGTGACGCTCTTACAATCATATGAGACCGGGACCTACGGCTCAAAGGTTTCCGAACCACTACAAACATCCATGGCACCGCCGGGACTCGAACCCGAAACATGGTACCGAGCGCCAGGGCGCTACACTCGGCCATTCAGGCTCCAATTTTGAATGCCAACTGCACGCGGTGTTTCTAGGTGGTCACAATCCGAAGTACTGACCGCACCCGATGATGCTTGACTTCGATGATCGAACGAAGTACCGGTATATTCAGCATGGTATAGTCGTTGGCACATACTGTATACATGCCCAAATAGTAAGACCAAATTTTTTCTCAAAAACTCGGAACAGAAATTGCACCCCTCTTCCCTCCTACCATGAGGGATCCGACGACAACAACAACTGCTGTGTGGTTCATTCCACATTTGTAGTAACCATATAATCAGTCAAATTGTTTTTAAATTACTACAAGTTTTTATGTTTCTTTGCTTAGACAATGATGAAGTTGAATTGGGTTTTTGTGGCACCCTATATTGAATAAACACCATACTGTTTGGGGCTTTTATCTTTCAATTTCTGATATTTGAGTATCAAGTAAGGAAGTCGTTTATTATTAATGTAACAGATATCAATATCAAATTCAACAATATCTACCCAGGGTGCAACTTAATAAACACTACAACCACTTTGATGGCAGGCAATTGGAACAAACATTAAAAAAGTAACGTTTAGTGGAAGAGTAGCACTTTCCGCCTTGAATGCAATGGTGTACTTTTCTGTCTAAGCATTTATCTTATTTATTGTTGACTTTTTTTTATCTAAACATTTATCATGTTTATTGCTGACTTTTTTTGTCTAAACGTTTATCATATTTATTGTTGATTGTTGCAAGAGACACGATAACTTTCAATCTGTCTTATTCATCATGTTTTTAAACAGATATCCCCTCTGACCATAAACATTATACTTTTTAACGTTTACAAACGGGGGCCTGAATGGCCGAGTGGCTAGCGCTCTGGCGCTCGGTACCACAGGTTTCGGGTTCGAGCCCCGGCGGGTCCATGGAACTTTGTAGTGGTTCGGAATCCACTTTAAAAGGTAGGTCCTGGTCCTAATAGGGATCGTAGAGCATTGCAGGGGCATTATTACTCCGCGTCCGTGGCTTGTCTTCAAGTTACACGCGCCCCCTGGGTAATGCAAAGTGAGTAATGTCTGTGCAGCGCTTGCCTTAAGGCATCAAAGACAATTGTCGAAGTGGTTGCCAGCTGCATTAGAACGGGGAGAAAAAATACCCCGACGTTTACCAACAAAAACGCTTTGAACTAAGATCATTTATCAGTAACACAGCAGTTATTTTAGTGGATTAAGCTTTACCCAGGGAAAATAAATCACAGAGGATCTGCTACATTGCAGCCTTATTGTGACATTTTAATTTGGAACTAAAAACTAAAGGAGGTTTGGTTTGTCGCTCCATTATCATTTTTTGCATACTTCAGGATAATAAGATCGGGGCCAACCGTTTAGTGTGGATTCCGAACCACTCACAAACAACCTTGCCCCAGTCAGGACTCGAACCTGAAGCATGTGTTACCAAAGGAAAGAGAGCTTGCCAATGACCATTAGGCCGCCAACTAAAGGAGGAGTTTATTATCTGGAATGGTTTTGCATCCTTTTCCACTATTCTTCAAGCACGGTGAAAAAGACATACCAGCCTACAGAATTTTCCCCACCATGAGAGTGGATCTTTTCAATTTCATTTCGATTGTCTGATTCCAAACCGAACTCTCTCCGTTTCAAAAATGTATTTAAATGTATTTTTAATTACATCTAGGATTGGGTCGTATTGATCATTTGCCTGTGAGAAGTCAAATACAGGCTAAGGCGACGAATGCTGTTACTCATTTAGCACTACCCAGAGGGCACTTGTAGCCGAAGATATGCTACGGACGCGAGTAACACTACCCCACAACGCTCTACGATCGTGCTAGACCGGGACCTAAGGCGTAAAGTGGATTCCGAACCCTTACAAACATTCAATGACACCGCGGGACTCGAGACCTAAATCTGTGGAAACCGAGTATCAGAGCTCTAATCACTCGACCCTCAGGCCCAAAAATCAAAATTAAATGCATTACCAAATGCTCCAGTCTATGTGAAAATTAATAAAAACGTATGATTTATAATATCCACCATGGGAAAAAATACAAATCTAAAAATATCAGAATAATTACCTCTTTTATGCACAAAACATATTTTTAATAATTAAGTCAGAAATTTTATGAAGTGGTTTTTGTACCTAGAAGAATGAAACTAGGAATATTAATCGATAAGTACTTCTATGTCTTAATAGTTAATCATTAAGTTGTTACAAAATAATTTCTACCAAGAGCATTTGAAAAGTTTATTTTTTATACCTGGTATTCGAACCATTATTTTACATTATGATAATGTTCGTTATCTACTATGAAAACTGGAGAGCCATTTAAATATTTACGTAATACATTAAAAGTGGATGTTACCTATAAAAGGACAGCTAACTGGTCAAATGTATGATTGACTGCTACAAGTGATCTCTCTGTTGTATTTTGCAGCTCGAATTTTTGTTCGCTAAATCCTTTTATATTGCCATGGAAGATCATTTTGTTGAAATGTAAGTACATAATTTTAATTTAGGTTATGTATAAAAAAAAAATTTAAATTAATGCTTTAAGTTTTTTTTTTTTTAACGTTTATTTGTAGATAAAATCTTCGTATGTTTTTTGTTACTTAGATTTGCGTTATATATTTTTAATGTCATATTATTTAGAAAATACTACATATTTTATTAAGTTTTAAATTAAAGACAACATGAACTTAATCCATTATTCGGAACTTTGGAAATTTTCATTTGTAACATAATATAGACTTATGTATGGTAATTCATAATTGATACAATTTGGACATCAAAAGTAAATGTCAATTTTTCACTTTTGCTAAATTTTTATTATAAACAACTATCAAATAGAACCTGAAGTTCCCGGATTAGAGTAAAATTTATTCAGTTTTAGATAAATGATAAATATCTACAAATATTTCTGTACGAGATTGAATGTAATATTTATGTTTCATAATTTAATGTTTGGTAAAGAAATTCCGAATTGCATGAAGAACTACAATTTCTGTTTTTAAGTTGTAGACTATTAATGACTGGCATTTTACATGTAGTACAGTCTAAGGTTAGATAAATGCAATATGGATAAGAACTTGTATCTGCACCAATGCAAGTAAAGCTTTGTTGCTTTCAATGTAATGCAAAATGCGGTCCAAATTTTTTTTTTCCTCCAAATTATCCGAAATTTTGCTGTAAGTATTTACCAAATTTATAGTTCTAAACTGTTTTAAAAGGCCTATTTTTCTTCCCTTTTATATATATAAAAAATTTAAGGAATACAATTAGAATATGTATGTTAAAGAGGAATTAGATAAAAATAAAATGCATCAAAATAATTGGCAAAGCGCTTTTTGATCGCTGCTATTTTTAATATACAATAAAACGTAACAAAAAAAAAACTTTTGAGAATATTAATTAAAAGAAAGCATTGGATATAATTGCCGATATATAATACAGGAATAATAATAAAATACAGGAATATTTTTAGTTTTGTATAATATTTCATCATACATGGAGTTTTTGGAGGGGGGATTTTATTAATTCGTGTTGAAATTTTGCTTTTTGTTTAAGCAATAAGAAACAAACTAAGAATTCAAATGCTCGAGGTTTTGATAATGACAAAATCTGAATTATTAATGCAAACTATCTTATTGAATATTCAAAATCGTCTAAACTTTTGTAAAAATGAATACTTAACACAAAAAACTTTTTTTTTTTTTTTTGTGTTATCTAAGTACGACCAATTATTTCACCCTCAATTTGGTATATGATAAATTAGATAATTCTTTGTTGTAAAATTGGTAAGTTGCTAGTATTCTAATTAGAAATGCAATAATTTAACTTCTGTTGCTGCAATGAAACAAAATTTGCATAGGGAAGAAATTGTCGACAATTGTTTTCTAAAAATGTTCCACGCTATATTAATTCAGTTTTAATGGAGCAAAGAACATGTCGGTTACATTTTTATCATTGAAAGTTTATGATTAAAAATTAAGTCTAAGCACATTTTAAAACTAGGAAATATATTCATGAAAAAACAATTTATCAGAAACATTGCATATGAAACTATAATTTCTTCGTCATCGTTATTGATCTGCAATCAACTTTTAATTTAGATAAAATTTCTTAAAAATTCTAGATAAGTTTTTTAATTTCGGTGTTTTTTATGACGCACTTACACACAAAATAATGTGGCATACCTTTTCACAAAAATGGTCGGGTACCCAAACATCGGACTACATGCATGCATTTCGCACTAGCAACACTACATGCATTTAATAGCCATAAACAAAATTTAAAATTTTAATTCCAGAACTATACATAATCTCCCCCCCATTGGATTTAACTGCTCAAATGGGACACTGAAACTTAAATAATTCAAGTGGTATAACGATCTTAATTAAGCTTTTGTAAGAGCATTTCATACAATACTTCTAGTAATATTTCCTGTATATAGATTTACCATCCCCAACTTCTTATTTGATATTGGAGTTTTTCGCCGTCGTTCTTTAGTATTTGAATTGAGCATGATTCCAAAGTTGATACTCTGTTCACCATGGACATATTTCTGAAACAAAAAGTAATATGCAATTTTTTTTGTTGTTTCATAGATGGTATCATGTTATGGGAGTAGTATTTGCCGTGATATTCCTGGCCTGCATATATTCCTGTTGTGATAAGAAAAGAAGTGGGGCAGATGATGGAGGTGACAGACAACCGAATGCAGATTCGCCTCCACCAAGCGGCGAGATGTCTATTCCCATGACTAATGTAAGTCATTTTTAAATCAATAACAGGGTTTACGTTAATTGCTGGGCTTATTGGTAAAGTACATTGAAGAAGCCTAGATAAAAACAATATCTTTATTAACTTGTAATATTTTTTTATATTTCCAATGGCAGATTATGAACAGTTACAGCAGAAAAAAAGCGAAAAAATACAACAACAAAAATGAAACAGAGTTCATTCATCTAACAATAATGCCAAGTTGCAGATCTTTCAGCCACTAAAAAATGTTATCAGGTGCACCACTGGGGAGGTAGATCTTTTGCGCACCCACTTGTAATGTAATGTAAAAGTGCATGAATTTCGATACGAGTTCTTTAGGGTGCTTGTTATGTTAAAGACTATACTGGAT